GTGAGGTCATAAGCCTGGACTAGGTACTGGAATTCCCTGATAAAATTGGTAGGGTTAGTGGAGAATGAGCCTAGGCATTATTCAGTTGAAGAGAGGTCAGTTAGTGAGAAAGGGACATGGACCCGAATGACATCTTCTGCTCCCGCCACTTCTTGAAGGGGGCAAATACAGGAGTTTAGGGGCTCTAGATTCAGGCAGGAGCGAGTATGTGAGCTAACTGGGGAAGAAAGGTCTTCAGGGGAAGGGGAAGAATCCGGAGGGGAGGGCCGGGGCTGCAGTAGCCATTGGTGGGAGCTGATCAGGAGGGGGAGAAGGAGGGGAAGCAAGATCTTCGGGGGAATCAGAGAAGGAGGAGGGAAGCTCTGGGGCAGTAGGCTTAGGAGGCCGGACAGGTTCAGAATTTTCTTGGGCTAGAAGAACTTGGGCTGTGGAGCATTGAGCACGCAGATCAGGGGGGGAGCGCAAGGCCCAAAAGACCTGAATGTAGGGGACCTCAGACCATTTGCCAGTCCATCTGCAAAAATTACCTAGGTCAGTTAGGGTAACGAAATCGAAAGTGCCTTCTTCAGGAGGCCAGGTTTCACGATTATCGAGCTGATATAATGGCAGGCCGTAGAGGATAGAAAAATCAGCCGTTTTCTCTGATCCTGAGGCCAGGATCAATTGTTGGCAAATTTTTTAGGAGGCACCCTAGAGGTGACTTAGGGTCTGGTTTGGACTCCTGCCCCCCATTCCTGGTCCCACAAGGAGCAGCAGATGGGAATGAGCATCCCTCAACCCAATCTGCTGATCCGCTCAAGTAAAAATGGGGGTCTGGGTCCAGCTACATTTCCTCCAGTGCCTAGAGCCTCTTAGCGGGGGAGAGCAGCCTCTCCTGGAAGGGTTACCCCAACACAGTGCTGCGATTTGGTGGAGAGCAGTCTCTCCCAGCAGATGGGGGCCTGGAAGCAGTGTTCGGGGACCAGAAACTTAAGGGCAGCGGCACTTACCCTGGTTCTTTGTCCGGACTGGTGGGGTGGACGAGAGGCCTCCTCGGGGAGTGGGGAGAGGAGTGGTCTTCAGCAGGCAACAACTCCTCCTGGGTTTCGGCACCAAATGAAAGGTTTTCTTAGGCTCTGCCAAGGAAGAAATGTCAATCAGCCACAAAGTTAGGCATATAGAGCTTTACTGGGGCTTGTGCACCATGCGAGTTTCTCCAGTCTGCAGAGTAGGGCTGGGGAAGTTGTGCCCAAGCAGGAAATATGGTGGGGGGGGCGGGCGGTTATTTTGGTTGGCTTCCTTCGTGGGAGCTGGGGATTGGTCCCCTTTGAACAAAGCGGCAATATATCATTGGTGGTTCTCCTCGGGCTCAGGTTGCTATGAGGATATCCGTTTTGGCAAAGCCCGCCCTTTTGGCTCCCTTGGTTTGACATTGCCGTCTTTTCCAGGTTGTAGTTCAGCCACAATTTTGTCCTACCCTGCCCATCATGACAGTGCCTAACACACAACATTTAAGGAGGTGCCCCACTGCCAACCATGCATAGCTCGGCACCCTGAGAGACGGTCCCTGGTTGGGTTTTTGCTCTGCAGGCTCCTTGCTTGCTTCACCTTGGTCCTGGTCTGGCTAGACTCTTTAAATACATTTTCTCCTGTAATCCTCACAATAGCCTTGTTTTACAGATGGGGAGAATCTGAAGCCCACGGTGGGTAAGAATGTGCCCAAGGTCTCATGGCTGCTTCCAGTACACAGATGGGTGATGCTGACGTTATCTCCTTCGGTTTTACAGTGAACCTGAGAATTGGTCGTGTGTGTTATCGAGTCAGTTATTACACACAGCCATTATTAAACAGTAAATTATGCAAAACAAATAATTAAATAAATTATATTAAAAGCAAATGTAATAAATATCCCCAACTCATCACTTCGTAAATCTGATTCTCCGGGATCAGCGTGGGATCCTGGCTTTGCCCCTTGCTGGCCCTGTGACTTTACGCTGTGACGTCTGCACAGGAGTGGGGGCATCCTGTGAAGGACGGAGGGTTTGAAGCCAAGCTCTCCAGGCTCAAGCCTGGCTCCACTCCTACTGTCTGTGTCAGTTTTCTCGTCAGTAAATTGGGAGCAACTTACAGAAAAGAAAGTTGACCCTGATGGTAGCATCTGCTGTAGCTCTCATTGCTTTTTTGTTTTTTAATCTTCACCTGAGGATATGTTTGGTGATTTTAGAGAGAGAGGAAGGGGGGTGGAGGAGTGAGAGAGAGAGAGAGAGAGATGCAAGAGAAAAACATTGATTGGTTTCTTCCAGGACGATTGGCCCACCCCCTGCACGCCACCCAGGGCAAACCCTTTTGGTAGATAGGGACAGGATGGTGTTCCAACCAGGCCATCCAGCCAGGGCGCTCTCACTTGCTTTTGAACGTTTGCTCGTTATGTGCCAAGCATCATTCCAAGTCACTTGCTTATATTTTCAGATTAATGTTCCAGCAACCCAATGAGGTAAGTATTGTTTTTCTCCTGTTTTCAGATGGGGAAAGAGCCTCAGCACAATTAAGTACCATGCCGAAGTTCACACAGCTGGTAGGTGGCCGAGCTGGAGCCCATCTGCGAGTCCCCTGTACCTAAGACATGCTCAACATCTCGTCACGGACAGCTCCCCCAGCCCCATCCAGGAAATGTCCTGGACCCCAGTTTCATTTTCCTGGCTGCTCCCAGGCCAAGTGTCAGAAAGCTTAGAGCTCCTTAAACTTTTCGGTTGGTGGGTTCCAAAGCTGGCCAGGCCTTGAAGAGGCAGGGGGCAGAATCCATACCCTGCACCTAAGCCCTCTTGTGCTCCCAGCAAGGCCGATGTAGCTGTTGCTTTGGAACAAATTCCTCCTCTCTGAAGGGCGGGAAGAAGCCAGCTCCTCCCCCTGCCAGGAGGAAGCCACTTCTTCCCGTCATTCTCCAGGGCGGATGCACTGTAGGAATCAGGCACGGAGGCTGCAAGGAAGAAAAACACCCACTTCCCATCCTCCCAATTCGGGTGATGGAAAGCTCCAGGCCTGAGCAGCCCGGGACCTCTCCCTGGGGCCCAGAAGAAACCGCTCCTCACTGGGGTGATGCATTTCAGCTGCCCACGGGTCCTGAGGGGTTAGACAAGAGAGGCTATTGCCCCGAGGCTGAGGAGGCAGTGGGCCTGCAAGAGGGAGCTTGGCTTTGGGCACCAGCTAAGCCTGGTTTGAATCTTGCCTCTGCCTCCTACAAGCTGGGTGTGCTTGGTTAACTTTTCTGGGCCTCAACTTTTTCCACCTGGAAAAATGGGAGAGTATCCGCTTTATGAACTCTTATGGAGTAATGGTTTAAAAATCAAAGAAATGTGTGTGTAAAGCATATGAGACGTAAATGATGGAAGAAATGGGACACGTGTTAAGTGAAAGCAAACGCATAGTGGTTGTATGCCAGGCACTGTGCTAGGCAAGAGAGAGTCCACCGGGGGTGGGCCAGAGTCCAGGGCTCTTTGTGCAGCGGCAGAGACACAAACCAAGAGAGAAGAGGGTGTGGACATAGTGCGGGGAAAGAGCAGGGACAGCTCCTAACTCCCTGAGCAAGTAATTGCTGGGACCTGTTGTACGCCTGTGGGCATCATGGAGGCTTCAGCTGTGAGTACAATTCAGCCCTTTTTCCTCAGAAATAAAACCAATAGGCCTGACAAATTAAAGACAACAAAACAAATAAAAGCGCTTGAGACCGAGGTGTAAGGAATCATAGAGGGAGGAGTGTGGCGCCTGACTGAGCAGCAGGGAGGGCGTTTGTTCAGACTGGTGGGAGAGACCAGCGCAGGGGCTTCGGGAAAGGCCTGAGTTCCTCCCCATCTTATTTCAGCAGAGGTGGAGCACGGAGGAGGGGCCTGGGCCCCATTTGCCTTCTGCTGCCCTAGCTGGTCTTCCTCCAGCCCCCCGCAGCAGGGCTGCGTCTGCGTCTGCTGCTCGGGTCCCCTGGATTAAGTCCGGGATCCTGGAGCAGGGAGCCACGTGAGTGCTTCTGGGGCACTTCGTGTGCTGTGACTCTGGGAAAATCACCAAACCTCCTGAGGCTCCTCTCTTTGGTGGGGGCTACACGCCCGACCCCTTTTACAGGACTGCTGTGTGTTGGGGACGGTCAGGTGAGATGGGGGGGGTCTGCATGGTGAGGGGCGAGTGCTAAATGCTCAATAAATGTTGGCGGTTTTGGTGGCTGTGGCGGGCTGGAGTGTGGGGGTTGGGCAAAGGACAGGAAGGTGACATCCATCTCCACCTGGCTCTTTCTGTGCTTCTCTCAGGAAGCCCAGGCCTGGGGCGAGGAGCAGCCCCTGAGGCCAGGCCATATCTCCCTCTATGGTATGGCCCTCCCAGCGGCACCCTCCCCGCTCCTTTGCCTACATCAGCTGGGCCATCGGTCACATTGGGTGGGTGTGAGGCCACCAGCCACTACAGAACCATATTTATTTCACAGCCTCCTCTGTCTGGAAGCTTAAAGTCCCCAGTTCTGGGGCTGTGGGGCCACCTCCCCACACGACCTGGCCATGTTTTCATTGCTAACCGTCCTCGCTCACCTGGAACACTCCAGCAGAATCCCCTACACCCCCCACCCCTGTGTTGCTGCGGTGGTTCATTAAGTGTCTGTCACTCACAGAAACCAGAGGCTGATATCGGATGACCGGCCGGGTCCGTTCGCTCAGTCCTTTTCCGAAAGGCCCCTCTGGGCTGGTTTTCTTGGCTCCCAGAGACATCAGTGCTCCTCCAACTGCCTGTCTAATCTGGGCCACTGAGGGTCATTGCACTGAGGCTGGTGACCAGCTGTTCTCCATCTCCTGGGGACAAACAGGGAGCTCAGGCTGCAGCGAGGAGCCAAGTCAGAGAGGGGCCAGTGGGAACCGGCCTGCCGGGTTGTTGGGCTGCGTTGAGAGTGCCGGCCCTGGAGATCTTCCACAAACAGGATAGGGTTTCATCTCTCTGGAATGTGTCAGGGCAGCAGGGCCTACCCTTCCCTCCCTGCCCAGATGAAACGCATCCTCCGTGAAGATCTGGGCCCCATTTCCCAGCTCCCCAGAGCTCCGGGAGCACGCAGAACACCAAGCACCCCTCAAAGCCTCGTCATCCTTGAACCATAGCTTTCTCCAGGTATGTGTTTCTTTAGCTCCCTGGAAGGTGCGAGGACCACATCCCACTCATATCTATGTGTCATAGCCCTGGCCGCTTATTAAGCATCTCTTGAGGCTTTATTGCAGTTTTAGGGGGCTGCTACTCAGAGCCAAGCAGAGAGGATGAGTCCCAGGACTGGCAGGTTTGGAAGAAGCTGTTAAAGGCCTGGAGTTTGGGGTGCTATTTAAGGAAAGGGGCTCCAGTGGGGCAGGGTAGTGGGGCTCAGAACTGCCAACAGCCAGAGAGCACAGCGGCCTGGGGAGAAAAGACGGGGTAGAGAGAGAGGTGCTGGGACAAGGAAGAACCATCTCGGAAGCCCCCCACGTGGATCAGACCAGGCAGGCCTCCGCTGGATGTGAGAGGGTGCGGGGGAAGCAGGAAGGGGTTGTGGCTTTGAAAAAGATGGGGACTTGGGTGGGTGGAACCAAAGGATGAGCACCGAGGCCAGGGGGGGCGTGGGGGAGACGAGGCATTCAAAACGCCACAGACGGACCCCAGGGTTTACTGGGCATGTGGCCAGGCCCTGCGTCCCTCAGAGAAATCGAGTTCTGGGGTGGGCAGGGAGTAAAGAATAATCAGCCATGACAATCCTCTGTTTGTGTGGTGCTTTGTAGTTTACAAAGGGCTTTCTCATCTATTAGCTCATGAACTGGGTGAGGATTGAGGAATTTCAGCTGCCTCCACCCCATATATTCTCAGGAGGGCCTTAACCTTGACCCTCTCATCTCCCCCCTCCCTGCTTCCGGGACTGAGGACATATTGGGCTACGCTCTCATATGCAACTTTGTAGCAGGGTGGCAGGAGGGGATATGGCTCTGGAAGGGTGCTTTCCCCAGCAGCCCCTTTATCGCTTAATTGTGCCTCTGTCTCCTTCCCAGAGATGTGTCCCCACACCCGGTTGACCTGGGTTCCCTGGAAGGCAAGGAAGGTAGAACCCATCTTCGTGTGTCTCCCAGAGGGGAGAAGCTCTGGGCTAAGAGGGGGAGCAGAACTCCTGGACTTGCTGACATCTCGGTAACTCCTGCTGCTTTCCTTACCCATCTTACTGAGCAGGTCCACCCATGGCTTTCCATCTTGCTCTGCCAGTGCTCCGCGGGTCTGCCGGCCATGTGAGGCAAAGGTCAGTACCTGTCTCCCACACTGACTCAGGCCTAGCCTCCTTCTTGCCAAATGGCACAGATGGCGGCCCCAATCCTGGCCTGGATAAACACCCCACATTTCCCCATAAGCACACGGGTCTTTCCAACTTGAGGATTCTAGCTTTTGGACACTAAGCCAACACTTGCAGCCTGCCCTAGAGTAGTCGGGAAAGTAACAGAGTCAGCAGAAAGGTATGCAGAAGCCCAGAAGATAAATAAATGTCATTGACAAGAAAACTGGGGCATGTACTGAAGAACAAGAATGCTGGCCACAGGGGAAGACAGCTCCTCGTGTAGAGATGGGGGGAGGTGAGCCAGCGGGGAACACTGCACTTCGCGTGTAGGGCGAGGAAGAGGGAAGTCTCCCGGGCACCAATGCGCAGGTCACATCTGGCTACTATAAGGCACAGATGAGTTTGATATATGTGACCTTGAACTAGTAAGACTGACACACAAGGACATGGACATGCTTCTTATAACCAGTGGACTTCACTAGAATGTTTCGGTTAGGGTATATAAGTATGAATTAGATGTTCCATCTATTAAGAAATGATATGACAACCCAGCTCTACGAGACATTGTCCTTTAAGAGTTGCAAAAGAAGGCCTGGGGAGCTGTGAGTGCAACAACCAAGCAGAGTAAAGAATCTGGGAAGGCCTGTGTTGTACAGGAAATGTGGCGAAGGGTCCATACAGTCTATGGACACTTTAATGTCATCTGCTAGAATTATTTTCCCAGTGAGAGTCAGTGAGGAAATTTAAAAAAAAAAAACATGCTCATATTACTAGGACACACCTAGTGTACAAAAACGAAGTCAGGGTGTGTGTGGCTATGCTGTGGCAGCTACCACAAAATCTTGGAGGCTCATGATAACAAAGGTTATTTGTCATTTGTGCCACATGTCTGTCATGTGTTGGCTGTCAGCCTCTTCAGTGGTTTTTGCTCTTGGGCTGATGGAGGGACGTTGGAACTTTTTGATACAGGACACTGATGGTTTTCCTAGCTGAAGCAAAAGAGACTAACATGCTGATCACTCACTGACCCTTGGAACTCTGTCTGGGAGGGACACCTGCCACTTCTGCTCACTTTTCATCGGCCAAGGCAAGTCATATGGCCAAGCCCAATCCCCCCTACCGGAGGAAGTAAAGTCCTCCTCTACCAAATCACAATCAACCCTACCACACAGAGGTCCCTAGAGTAAGTTCTGCGTTAGGCCATACTGGGGTCCAGCCGCAGCCCTCGGGAGAGGGAGCGACCTCAGAATCCGGCTGAGGACAACCGTCGAGGGGGAGTTACAAACGAGTCCCTGGAGCATAAGTTCCACAGGGACAGTTCTTGGTCTGTTTTGTTTGCTGGTGTATCCTAAGGGCCAAGACAGGCTCTTCAACACATATGTGTTGCTGAATGGATTATAAATGGGTTTAAGATGCACCCTGACCATTCCTGTCTCAGCCAAGGGGGATCTGGGTTCCACCCTCTGGTGTGTTTGAATGAGAAGACAGGCACACTCAGAGAACCCATAGCTCTCTGATGGAAGCAGATGAGTTGGGACTTTACCTTCCACTTTGGGATGCTGTGTTTTTAGCTTGTTTTGGTCTATCCCAGGAGTCAGGAAATTTTTTTTTTGGTAAAGAGCAGATATTAAATATTTTTGGCTTTGTAGGCCATATTGTACATTCTCTGTTGCAAGCACTCAAGTCTGTTGTAATGCAAAAGCAGCCATAAACAGTGTGTAAATCTTCCAAGTCTGGTTATGTTCCAATAAAACTTTATTTACAAAGACAGGCAGTGGGCTGGATTTGGCCAGTGGGTGGTAGTTGGCCTGTCCCTAGTCTAGCCACAGGAATGGGTTCTCAAGCTCTTGCTTTCTCCAGTATTACTTTCAGGGCCATGGTAGGGTCATACACTTATCACTTGACTTTCTTCTCCATAAAATGAAGGGCCACAATATTGTAGTTCTGAGACCTCTTGTCAACTGCTTTGAGTGTTTAAGGCTTTGGTTTATTTTTGTCCAGCGATTGTGTTAACCCCTAAATGTCCCTGACCTGCCCAGGGTTTAGGTCTCACAGTGCTATTGTAAATCCCAGGTGCTCTGCCCCACCGGTACGCTCATCTGTCTTGCGTTTGGGTCATGAGCTCAGTCACTGTTTGACTTCTCCAAGGACCCCCGTGACTCCTGTGAGGGGAAGACAAGGGCCTGTGGTTGGTGAAGGGGGAGGAGCCCGCCTCTCCCCTCACAGTTCAGTTGGTCTGAGAAGTATAGCATCTATTTTCTTAGGGATGTGGCTCAGATATTTTCATTTCATGGAACCCGATACCTCAGACTCACAGATTTTTTTCCAGGCTGGAATGCCTCTGGTATAATATGACAGTCTGGAGAGGATTAGCCAGCCACCCCCTCTTTCTGGGTCAGTACCAGGCTTGTGCAATTAGAAGTCCAAGGAAGAGACAGGCAGACAGTCAGACTCACCCTTGCCAACAACCCTCCCCCGCAGCCTTCTAGTTCGTTGTATGGAGTTTTAGAGCAGGAAGAGACCTTGTACCTAGTGAACTCTTGTCCATCTGATTCCATTTGGATGCTTGAACATCGCGAGGACCCAAAGGCAACTCTCTTGCCCTGCGTGCCAAAGCCAGAGCTTTACCCCATGGGCACTCCACACCCTTCAGCTAATTTCCAGACTGCTGTCCACCACTCCTCCCCATCTCCTCCAGCAAGATAAACACATCTGCCACCCCATCCTGAGGGAACTGGGAGGGGAGGAAGGAGGGAGGAGGGAGCCTCCCAGTGTAGACAATCAGAGACACGGCCTTGACTTTGGGCTGTGAAGAGACAACTGCCTCCCTTCTCCAGCTGGCGGAGCAGGGACCCCAGGGAGCTCAAGCTGTGGGGGAGGAGAAATTGGCCAGGGAGAAAAGATAAAGGAGAAAAGGGGAGGAGTCTGGCTAGCTCCCACCTCCTGGCTGAGGGTCCAGCCAAGTGGCTGAGCAAGAGAAAGAGAACTGATAGCAGATAAGGGTGCTTGCTTTCCTGTGGCCTTGTTTACGCAAACTTGGGTTCCTGCCACTGGTCCATGCGGGTGGGAGCGGAGCAGGGGAGCTATGTGGGTGGGGGACGGTGTGAGGTTCCTGGGCTGAGGCTTGCTTTCAGCTGGCCAAGGCCTGGGTGGCTTACATATTTCCCCCTCACCCCCCTACCCTCCAGACTTCCTGCAGGAAGCCAGCTAGGCAATGGCTTTAGCTGGACTACAAGGCTTTCCACACTTGGAATGAGTATTTTCACTAAAGAAGCAGCGGACATGGCATCTCTGCCTTTCCTCTGGCCTCCCGGGTCTCTGGGAGCCTGGGAAAGGATTTCCAGCCATACGGAGGTTTATGGTAACACACTTAATTAAGCACTGCATTTTCTGCATTGCGTGACTCAGCCTCCTTGAAAGAAACTGAGTCTGAACTGTGCTAAATCTGAGGAGCTGGAAATGATGGAAGAGCCACTGGTAGGTGCCAGTGCTATGCTAGGGAACAGGGACAGAGTAATGAACAAAACAGACACAGTCCATGTCCTCATGGAGATGAAAAGCAACGAACTGATTATAGGAGTCATGGGCCAAAGCAGGATATGCTGCAGAAGCTTATGGCAGGGACCTAACCTTCCTGATGTCGGGGAAGACCTCTAAAGGGTAAGCAGGACTGTCTATCTCCCAGGAGTGTCCAAACTTTTGGCAGCTCTGGGCCACACTGGAAGAAGAAGAGTTGTCTTGGGTCACACATTAAATGCACTGTGACACAAAATCACAAAATAAATCTCATTATGTTTTAAGCAAATTTACGGTTTTGTGTTGGGTCGCATTCACGGCCATCCTGGGCTGCAGGCGGGCTGCGGGATGCAGGTTGGATGCCCCCGGGACTCTAGACATTCAAGAGGGGCCAGAGGAAGGACATCTCAGGCAGATAAAATACTGCAGATGAAAGCACTGAAGAAGTAAAAGGAAGTGGGCTATTCAAAAGAGAAAGAAAATAGTGGTGTTTCATGAGACCCAGAGGGGGAAGAAGCGGCAGGGAGAAATGGGGCTGCAGAGGGCAGGCAGGGGCTGGATCTTGGGGGCAGAGAGAAGGAAGAAGGGGGACCTGGAGGGAGGAAAAGAGTGGGAGCTCTGGTGGCCTGGTTGGAACTGGAGGTGGGAGGACTCCTGGAGACTGTCCTCTACAGGGAAATGGGGATCACTGTCATTGCCAAGATATTCTTAGAAGGTAATTGCTGGAGCCAGAGGTCCCTTCAGTGCTACCTGGTTGCCTTCCAGAGTCAGTGCCAGCAAGTGCTAATGGGCTTGGGACTCCTTCCTGTGGGTGTTCCTGCTGGCCCCGGGCCTAATCTGGGACAGGCACGTGTCTGGTCCCTCAGCCCAGTCTTGGATGGTTTGAGATGACACCAGACCGGCGATGTGGTGCTGGGTGGTCAGCATCCCTGAAGCACGATGGGTAGCATCCAGACTGAAGCTCAGCTGGGGAGGGCCTCTGTCCTCTGAAGCAGTCTGCATCTGCCCGCCATTCGCATCTTGCCCTCTACGATGGCAGTTAGAAGGATCCAGAACATCTTGCTGATGGACAGCTCAACCCTTCCAGGTGTGTAGTCACCCCCAGGACCCCCACAGCAAGTCATTCATCTGTCCCCCACTCATCCTTCCTTTCCTTTCCTCCCTTCCAGCCAATGGTTACTGCGTGTTTTTGACTCTGTGGCACTTGCAATTAGTAGGTACCTTCACTGGTTCATGCTCCATCTTTGGTCCTGGAAGTCCCAGAGCTGTTAATATAAAGTTGAATGGGTCAGAGTCAGTGTCAGGCTCCAATATCAGACTCTTGGGGTTCAAATTTCCTAACTATCTCAGTGACCTGGGGGAAATCACTTTTGCACCTCAGTTGCCTCATCTTGAAAACAGGGAATTTTTACCTATTGCACAGGCTGTTGGTGTACTAAACGACAGCATCCCTGTAGAAGGCTTTGTGCATAGTCGGTGGTCAGAGAGCATTAGTCGCTAGTGTTTATACACATCAGCCACTCACTTCGCAAATACAAAATTGTTAGGAAGAAACATTTTTTGATGTTTTCTACTGAGAAGGTAAAACAACACTATTATATTAAAGATCTCTACCTAACAGCAACTGTTTTTACTTTTTACATCCACTTCCAGTATTTATCGTGAGATCATAAAAATATCCTGCAGTCCATGGAGGTTCATGCTCTTTTCTTTGCATGTGCTCCAGGCACCTGCTATATATAGACTCAGGAAATGACTCCTGGATGTGGTCTGCCCTCGCCCCAGCCCCAAGGTGAGAGCCCTGGATGTGTATTCCTGTTCCTTCCCTTCTGTCTGGTGTGATTACGGGTATGTTTCTTAGCATCTCAGAACCTGTTTCACCCCGTCTGTTAAATGGAGATAATAATACCTTCTGTGGGTTATGGGAAGTAGTGCGATCATGGGCAGAGTGCCCAGCACGTAACAGAGGATTAGTAAACGCTCATTCTCTGCCCCTCCCTCTGATTTAGCATGGGGTTCAAAAAATGAGAGGTGCCCAGGGGCTGTTGTTTTCAGGCGGGCCCAAACCCTCCGCCAGCCTTCCCACAGGAAGGCTGACCTGCCTGAGACAGTGGGGGCTCTGCTCTGCCTTGAAGACCAGGGGTCAAGGAGACTGACACCTGTACAGGAAAAGACAGGGCTGCGCCAGCTTCTCCAGGGCTGCCCCGTCAGCTGGCCCGTTGCAGTGGGGGGGCGGGGAAGCTGGGACTGGCAGAAGGCAAGGGGAACCCTTTCCCGAGAGCCCTGGATGGGGCTCCACTGTCTGTGGTCAGGGTGGGCTGACAGCTGTTGGGGAGGGAACTGCGGGGCCTGTGGGTAGGTGGGCTGAGAGTGCAGAGTCCGGAGGGAGCTGATGGAATGAGCAAGGTACAACAAGACCGAAGCTTCCTCGACAAAGAGGGGGTGCGCATGAAATCAGGCTGGTGGGAGCAGCCTGGCCGAGGGACCCTGATCCCCCTCCAGTCCTTCCACAAGGGGCCTTTCTCAAAGGCCGGGAGAGCATTACGTTAATGATGAGTAATTGCTTAAGGTAGTAGGCCACTTTACAAGGCCCAGCCTTCTTTCCCCTCCATTTTCTAGTTTCAGATCTCACAGAGAGGCAGAAAGGGAGATAGTATTCCTGTTCGACTAATTAGAAAACTGGGGCTCCAAGGGGCTAAGAAACTGGAGCTGGGCCCCTCACACCTGAAGGAGGAGTAGGAATTCTCCCAGCAGCTAGCGAGTTGTCACTCAGATAATTTAGAGCTTTCTTAATTAAAATTAAAAAAAAAATGAAAGTGTCAGCCAGCCCTATTCTTCTTCAGCGTCTTTGGCTCTTTTCTGACTGGGGGGACCCAGTCCCTGCCTGGAGCAGCTAGCTCTCTGGGGAGCAGAGAGGCACAGCGTCCCCTGGGGGGGCGGGGATTTATGACAGGAGGGTTTTCAGAGCCGCCTGTTAATAGGTGACTAATTGAGGTTACAAAATCCCACCGTCTGGGCATCAGCTGTCAGTGGTAGGATTAGGGGGCTCTGGTCCAGTTAATTTGTATCTAAGAGCTCACACCAACAAACAGTGTGAACTGGGGCCTTGGAAAGCCCCACCTTACCTCCCTGGGCCTCAGTTTTTTTGATCTGTAAATGGATGAATCGTATCCTCCACACACCCCCATCCACCACGCCTACTACTTTAATTTGACTTTCCGTGTGCAGGTTGGTGGAACAAACATTTCTTGCATTCCTGGAAACCAGTCTGGCTCTGCTGTTACCGAATGGTGGCCCTGGACCTACCACTTAGCCTTTGCGAGCCATGGTTTCCTCATGTGTAAGATGTAGGGGTTGGAGGGCTCTTGGGTTTTTTCCCCCCAGCACTGAGGTTATCTGCAGAAACCACATACCAGGTGTGGGCCTGGAAGGCTGGGAGGAAAGTGAGGCCTCCGGGCTGGTCCAGGTGGTTCTGAATGAGGGCCTGGGCAGATGAGCAGGGCGTCCCAGCAGGCAGGGGGAGGAGTCAGGGAACAGCACCTGGAAAGGCAGAGTTAGGAGTTGGGGCTGGTGAAGAGGGAATCAGGGCACCTTCTCAGGACTGACCCATCCTAATGGGCCACCTTAAAAGTGGATCCAGGGTCCAGGTCCAGCCTGGGAAACCCCCCAGGAGGCTGGAGTCAGCTAAGAGACCCTGCTCACAGAGACAGGCTTTCTGTGCCCGGCCAGCTCTCTGCTGAGCAGATCTGTCTGAGGCGAGAGAAGAGGAGAGAAGTATCTAATCTAGCCCTTGCCCTGGAGCACAGCTGGGCTGCTGTGGGCTTAAAACCCAGCTCTCTGGGCAAACAGCATCTTTGCTAGCAGGTTTGGATCTTAGCACGGAGAAGAGGCGGAGTCTGTGGGTGGCCAGTTGGGTCCAGAGCAGCGCTGCTTAGGGCAGGGCAGTTGGGCGGGGTGGGGGGATGCGGGGGACAGACAGGCCTGCAGATAGTGGCCCAACTGTGTTCACTCTGGCTCTCTGGCCTTTCTTTAAGCAGGTGTCCTGGAACTACCTCTGGTCCAGCTACTTTGAGAGACCTAGAAACTTATTCGTTATTTCTTAGACCAGGGGGAGACCTGTGGGAGTGGGGGATCTTGTCACAATGGCTTCCCGGCAGATCATGGGACCTGAATTTGAGATCTTGCAAGTCACTTCTGGCCAACCCAGTCACCTCCCCTTTGGCCAGACTGCTTCTTCTGGCTCATGAGGGTGTCATGTGGCTACATGAGGTCATGGTTGTCACAGAGCTGTGGTCCTTAGAGAGACCCTAGGAAAATATGGAGGTTTGAGGTTCGAGATGAGCCCGATGGTGTTATTACTCATTAGGTCCCTGCCACCATGCTGATCCCACCTGGAGTGTGGTTGGCCAGGCCCAGACTGAGCAGGAAGCCAAGTGCACTTCCTTTTTTTCTAGTACAGCCTCAGAAACTTGCATCTCTCAGCCCTCAGAGTCAGCTGATCCTCCTTGTCTAGCAGCCATGGAGGGGGTATGGGTATTGGTTTCTGCAGTGGGGCCCCTGAGTCATCCTGGGAAATCACGCCTGGCTGTAATCAGCCCCGCAGGCTATTACCAGGTGAAAACTGTGACCATGAGGTCATTAGCCTTGAGAGTTAGGTACCTTCTGCTGTGTAAGGGTAAGAGGTGGGGGAGCAGGAGACCAGCATCCTAAATCTAGAGTCCAAAGGCAGGTCCCAGTTCTGCTGTGCAGCATCTCTGTGACCTCTGTCATGCACACCAGCTCTCCATGCCTGTGTCCACAACCACAATACATGCCTTGTGGGGTTGGTGTAAGAATTAAACATGAACTAGAATGTTAATGGTCCCAGGAGAACATTTGGCACATCGAAAATGCCCAGTAAATGTTCTACAAGGGAGAGAAGATAGAGGGTGAAGTAAAGATAAGCAGACAGAGAGAGCATGCCCAGTGCCCTTTCCCAGCTGTGGAATCCATGAATCGCTTTGAGTGGAAGTCCAGCAAAGATCCAGCGACGCAGTGGAAAACATCAGTCCAGTGGTACCCGACCCAGCCAACAGCATTTGTTAATAAACTTATTTGGGTTAAGGGAACACAGGTTACAGAGTAGGGGCAGTTTTCTCCTCCCACTGGAGCCCACAGGCCTTTGGAGGCAGGTGTGGGGAGAGAGGGCAGGTTCTATGATCAGAGCCCAAGGCTGGGCAGGGAGGGAGACTTCTGTTCTGGAAGCGTCTGTTATATCACCTGGAACAAATTTCTGAATCAGTCATCCCTGGGCAAAAGATGAGGCTAGAGACAATGGGTCTTGCTGCTTCTGAGCTGTGTGGCC